TATATATATATATATATATATTACGTCCCAGTAACAGACCAGTTAAAAACAGATTGTCTTTGTTTTCTGGACCAGACCCAGAGGTTCTGCGGGGTTCTGATCTGTCCGTTGGTGGGGGTGACCCAGTTGGGCCTATGAACAGCAGCCTTGGTTCTGTCAGCGTACCCCAGGGCAGCGGTGGAGCCGCTGTCTATCTCTCAGCAGTCTATGGGCGAAAGGCAGGTGACAACCTGAACAGGTCACCAGTCTGTCACAGGCGCACTTTTCCATTATAGGAAATGTTTTTATTTTTAATTTTAGTTCCTTTACGTAAAGAAATGTACGCTTTTTTTTAATTGAATTAAAAAAAAAGTGACATTGTAGGTCTTTCAATTTAAAAACGCAAACAAATGTCCTGCAGTTGATGCTGTAATAAATGAGCTCCTTTGTTTCATGCAGCTTTTGTGGCTCTAAGCAAATTGGACCGAGGTTAAAATGGTTGTAAACATGGCTGACTCCTGCTGCAGGAGGTCGGAGGTCACACACCTGTATCCAGGTATCAGGATACTGATAATAATTCCAGTTCAAACGTCGCACAGCTGCCGTCCTGCAGGAAGAGACGTTCTGTGCAAAGTTCTGGGACCCAGTCGGTACCGGTAGCTTCGGTTCTGGTTTGTTTCCAAGTGTTTGTGGTACCAGTGGAGTTCTGATCCCTGCTGGACCTAAAACGATGAGGTCAGATGTGGTTTAGACTGGTGACTCTGATTTGGTTCTGATCCGAGTTGCAGAACAGAACCTTTGCTGAGAGAAACCGGCTGAGTTTGGTCTGTAGGTTCTACCTATGGGCTCATCTTCCTCCATGACTCTCTCTCTGTTCTAACCTTAAACTCGCTCGCCCGCTCCGTCCCATGACACCCCCCCCCCACCCACTAACAGAGCTCTCTTTCTTCTTCTTCCTCACTGAACTCTTTATTCATCCATCAGCTGATCACTGACTGTCACTACTTACTGAGAACTGCTTCTTCACTGAATCGGTTGGTTCTGATCCATACGGACCGGCTTTGAGCTCCGATCTGATCCGATCCGTTTACAGAACGGTTCTGATCACATAGATCCGGTCAGCAGAGGAACATCTGGACGTATTTTCTGATGAAAACCTTTAGTTCTGTTGGTGAAAAGCATCATGGGAGTTGGAGTCCTGCCTACTTCCTCTGTTTGTTGTTTCTAAATAAGTAAGTCATCAGCTTTCAGATCAGCTGAAAGTGGATCCGTGATCTGCTGAGGTCAGTGATGCATAAAGAAGGGGCGGAGCCTGTTGGCGATTGGTTAATATTGGGCGGGGCTGAATTAAAGACGGCCCAAAGCAGATGAACACAGATGTTCTGATCTCCACAGAAGCTCCAATAATCCCTCATCGGTTTGGTTACTGATACCAGCCCTTTCGGGTCCCACACCCTGAACCGTAACCAGAACCCCGCCCTCTAAAGCTGGACCTGTGGTTAGAACCGGCTTCATAATGAGTCTGTGTTGTAATCCTGAGACTGATTCTCATGAAGACAGATGGACTTCCTCTTCCTGTTCAGAGAAACAGACAGAATAGAAGAAAGCAGAAGTTCCCATGGAGACTTGATGACAGAGCCCTACTCCCCACACGGTTCTGGTCCGG